CAGTACTTTCTGGTCCCATAATGAGAGATTGTAAATGTACTGTCATCTGCATATTGTAGAGTCTTCTCAGTGGCTATGTAGAGCCACCCTCAGGTTGAGATCAAACTTCCTCCATTTCCCATCTGTAAGGCTGCATTGCTTCTAATACCTGAAGAAAAGTCTGACATGGAAAGAAATACAGACAACAAAAAGAAATGGAACATTTCTATATCAGCTGAAGTGATCATAGGGTATGAGATAGGTTTTTAAAAGAATTTTCTTATTTGTTTCATGATGAGTCAATTCCATGAGTGGTTAATTTGGGYTATACTGTATCTTATATTCCAACACTAGTTTGTGCAGATGTGYGAGTATATACATTTGTCCTGCAAAATATTGTACAATGCTGTCCTTTAAACAGTCTTTATCTTGCAGTTTTAGCTTCCCCCCATCCCCCTTGAAATRTAGGTGGTCACCCAAAGTAAACAGAATTCCTTCTACTCCCTCCACATCTGCTGTGTGTTATCTGGCACTCACCTCTGACCCTGATATTCATCATAAGAATGAGAATTGCATCCTATTCAGCTGCTTGTGTGCACTTTAACTCCAGTGATCACTGGCTGTTGAAATAATATATGCTGGGAGCAGAAATTGCTGAGACATCATCGGGGTGTTCAAACTGGACTCTCTGCTTCTTTTGTGCACTTTTGGATAATTAAACAGAATTCTAGAGATAAGAGGTCAGCGCAGTRTGATGGGGGACCAAGCTTGGTATAATTTAAGATTGGACTGGCTAGTGAATGCAACAAAACAAGTTCAATGCTAACTCTTAATGAGAAGGACTTTTGAGTTCTATTTGCAAGCTGCTTTATCAAAGGACATTATGCATCTACAGAGAGACAGTATCTTCTGTGGAAGCAGAAAGTTTAAAGTATGTTTGTGATTCAAACAATAGTTAGTGATCCTCTTCCTTTCATTAAATAACACCATCCTCCATGACYTATTGGTATCATTCAGGGAAAAAAAAGTAATTTTTGTTGTGAGTAAGAGTTTTTAAATCATATTTTAATGATTCATRTGAAATCTGATTTCAGATGTTAGGATGAATAAAGATCTTGTCTCTGTGACCCCACTAAATGGAAACCATCTCAAATTTTCCTTTTTTCACAAGGATGAACAGAATTACTTTTTGGACACTGTGGAGGAAGAAATAAAGCTGCCAATTTGATTGCYAAGGGTGAATTGATTAAAACTTTGGGAAATTTACCAGTTCTTTGTTTACTGTAGACTTTCTGCTATTTCCTCTCTTCTGATCTCTGTCAGCCCAGCAAAAGCCGTTCTTGTACGGGCACTTCTCGTCAGAAGGCCACCGTGTGGATTACAAGCATCTAGTAATTCTCAGTAATACATACCAATTATCAGGATGTGAATAGATTTATTTTTTTCCTTTTAAATTGTTTATGCTTCTTCACTTGCCAAGTTTGTTTCCTTGAGCATGTCTGTTTTTACATTTAGCAAAATTAACAAGGGATGAAATAGGTGTTGAGGATGTTAATTATGTAATTATATAAGCAAAGACATACCGTGTAATGGGCAGAGAAGAAAAATGACATAGACCTTACATGARGAAATTAAATCCCATGTTAGGTTTTTGATTAAGGTTCTGGTTTTTGCTGTGCTGCCAGTGGTCACTGGTGACCTCAGCTGTAAAGGTGAAGAGTTTTATTTCTTGTTTGCATTTAAGTATGCACATGTGCATCTGCTATATATTCACATTAGTTGGGGGGTTTTATCAGCAGATTGGGAGGCAGGATTCTCTTCCAGGAAATAATCTGTTTGTAAAAGACTGTGAAGTGAAATGAAAAGGATCGTATGAACCTTGGCGGGATCTAAGTGGTTTCAGTTTGCGCATTGTTAAAAATCGTGYAGTGTCCTTTGGTGCCCTTTTCGTCTTGTTTGTTTTAATAAAGAAGACCAGTTAGTTTGAAAGGTAGTTCTCTATTGGAATTGACTTCTGATCGCCCTATCACTTCACAATTCTTTATACATCAGGAACACTTGAAAGTATATGCACATGTTTGTGGGGATTTTTCTTTTCCTCAGGAGAGATTCAATTATTTATGCTAGAATTACTCGTATTGTGAGTTATTTTTATAATTGAATCAAAACTGTGTAGGCTGATACAGCCCCAAGTTACTGTTGTGATCCAAAAAAACCTCAAAATGGCTGAATAGAATAACTTTGTCACTTGTTTGTCATACCAGTTATGACAATGGGTCATTCCATGGATGTCTAAAATGATCTTTAGCCATGTTTTATGAAGCCAGAACTGTAATCCAATAACAATTTTCTGGCTAAGTGCTTCTCAGTTGCCACTGGGGACTATCTGCATCACTGTTGATGCTCTTAAAATGAGTTTAAGTTAAAAGGACACAAATTTCATATTTCTTTCCTTATTTTCTTGAGAGTAATATAAGAAAATAATATTTTAAATAATTGCATTCTGGTTCCTGAGGGATATCAGCATAATTGCATTGAGGATACCTTTTTTTTTAATGCATTTATTTATTAACAAAGAACTACATTCCATCTGTAAACCAAATGATTGGTCCACTGGCACAAAACAATAAAGTAATGAAACCTCTAGTTCATTAAATTGGAATATAGGGATTGAATTTCTAATTTATGTTGGTTTAAATTTCATGTTATAAATTATAGGATTCTAAGATGTAAGGGAAAAATATTTCCCATGATGTAGGCTACCTGTAGTTCCAGCCAGGAAAATTTATATAAGACTCATTGAAGGTGAAGGAAGGAGAGGTACTGAAAACCAAGATTGGCACAGTTCMTCTAGTGCCTTGGTGGGCACTTCACAGAAGACACAACTGAAAAAAAAAAAACCAAAACAAACCAAGAAAACAAAAACTCTTATTTAAACTGAGAATATTGTGTAGGGGTTACTTTTAAATATGGATAGTGTGAAATGCTGTTTTTTGAAACTCTGCAACGTGAAGGTCAGATAGCAAAAGAAATGAACAATGAGAAACAGAGATGCTTCATAAACCTTTAGTGGCTTCATTTCATTCCTATGTTGTCTCTCCAGCAATCCAATCCAGTGCTTTATTCACCATAATCTTGTATTCAAAAATTTCTTACGAATTTCAATCTRCTGTTAAGTTCACTCTATTCTGATCATTTTAGTTTGATTTCTGTGTTTAACAGTCTCTGGAGCAGTTTGTAGAAGCAAATATAAAACCCATATAAGACAACATATTCTCCTCAGTGTTATTATGTTGACTGGATTCCTACTGGGACCCAGTTCTCTGACATCACAGTTGAAGTATGACCTGGCTCTCATTTCAGCCCAAACCACCACAGACAAATCACTTTCGGTGAACAGTGTGTGCCTCGGTGTTACATTTCTTCAAAAGTTGTGTTCTTTTCCTTCTTGAGAAACACAAAATGTTTCACAAAGGGTGCCCTTAGATTTTCTGGGGAAGTATTAGCTCGGCTTTCCCTTTCTTACAAAGAATGGGTAATCTAAGCCACCTGTATGGCAATCTGTCTTGAATTTTYAGGAGCTGAAAATTGATTTAATGAATTTGAGATGATGTGATGTTTCCAGAATTTCTGCAGTGGAGAGCTACACTTATCATGAACTTAAACTGCGTCCCTCCTTCTCCACTGTGTGGGCTTTTKTTGGGAAACCAGATAGGCACAGCGGGGTGTTTGTCTCTATTCTATACCTTATCTCACTTTTCACTACATTAAATAGTTTAAAACATCAGTAAAATAGCACATGGTATGCTTGTTTCACAATCTTGCTCAGGTGGAAGGTGCTGTTAATGGTGGGGATGTTTGCCTGCCAGAAGTGATTTTGATACGCAAAACAAAGGGTCAGGGTTCTTCCAGGTTAAAATTTGCACTTGCTTCACAGTAGAGAAGATTTCAGTCTCTTCTGCCCACTCCACCTTGGGAGTCAGGTGAAGTCTGTGAGGCCCCAGGAGAGTCAGCAAGAATTGAGACTCTCATGTCAAAGCAAGGCCAGCTTGGATCAGGTTCCTCAGGGCTGGTCCTGTTAAGTTTTGAGCATCTCCCAGTTGCAGGAATTGCACAATCTCTCTGCCCTACATGCTAGTATTTTACTGTCCTAATGACGATTTTTTTCCCCTTTTGACAATATTTAATTGCAATATTCCTTGTTGCAACTTARTATCCATTATTTCCCATCCTGTCACTAGTGCACGTCTTTAGAGGAAACTGACTTTCTCTCTCCCTGCCTCTCCCCCCTTTAGACTGTGTTTGAGACCAACTAAAGTTGCCCTTTTTTTTTGCTGAACCTTCTCTGTCTTGTGGAGCTTCAGAATTTTCAAGAAATAGTGTTCTACTTTTTGTAGTTGGACCTTCATTGAAACTCATTTAAACTTGATTGATAAACAAATGCTTATATTCTTGTGTAAGAATCAGGTTTTCTCTTTCAAGGTCTGAAATGTGGGCACTTTTGGGGTCTGTAAAGTGTATAATTTGGATTTGATAACCATATTAYTGAAAGCTGGTTTATGAAGGACAGGCCTTTGCAGGTCATTCTTTTACTACAAAAACTCACGTCACTTTGAGTGCGTTACTGCACTGAAACTGTGTGTATTTCCCTTGAGGCAATGGCTGAACAYCATGAACCTCAATTGTTTCCAGAGGCTCAGGGAGGCCCAGGGATCCTGAACTCTAGTTTATGCTCATTGTCCATAACGTACTTGAAGCTTATCTTTCTATACTTCATTGACTCACAGTATATAAGTATTTGCATAATATGAAAACTCTAAATTGGAAGAAATTATCAAATATGAAATAGATTTCAACGCGCTCAGACATTCACTTTTCATTACAGATTTGTCCTTGCCATTCTTGAATCCTGCCAGCCGGATGATACTAGGGGGTTTTATGTGTACTTGGCTGGAAAAGATATGGTTTAAATAAGTTTAATTACTAACTATCTGTTGTGTTTGTGTGGATTCTTTTTCTAGTGTTCTTGGACAGGARATAATCTGACACAAAGCAAATTTATGGCATAGGTAAGTGGCACAACTKATTATATGCAATTTTTTATGTTATTTATTGATGTGAAATTGGCAGTCTGCACATGAGGAAAGCAAGGTGTAGGTAGTGCTCTAGAAGTACTAGGAAAAAGAGAARTACAGAGTTGGAGAATACAGCACATAGCTGTAAGTCAGTCTAATGTTGACAGACCACTTTCAAGGCATAAAAGTCTATTGGAGAAATGAGTCCTTTTTCCATATCAGCTCTCTCTTGAATCTCTTCATTGAAACACAAGCTTCCAGGTCTGTAAGTCATACTCACATGCCAGATGGAGTTCAAGCTGTTGTTTCCTCAACCACAGTTTTGTGTGTGAATTCTCTTCACTCTTCTGTGGATATCTACATCCCTGCAATCTCMAGTCAGCTGTCTCCTGCCCTAGAGAAGTCTATAAGATGTTTTCTTTCTCTGCCTTTAGAACAAACCAAGGGTGGATTTATTCTGTAATTTTTTATGGGTTGTTACTCTAATTTAGTAGTRATGAGACAAATTGCTTGAAAAGTAAAGAGCTTATATTTCTGTTTATTGTGTAATGGAAGCTATTTTTCTGCAGTATGTTACAGAATTGTTGTACTTCAGAGGTGGCTCTGTGAAGAAATAAGTATCTGATCATAAATGTGAGTTTATATGAAACAACAAAAGTGAGTTGATAGAGCAATGTGGCCTGASATATTGTCCTCTCACTGATTCTTGACAATAGCATATTATCAAATTAGGAATATTTTCATATCAGAGTGAATTATGAAAATCCATACTGGACTCTGTACTCCAAGAGCTTTTATTAACATTGGTGAGATGCTAGCTGGCCWTAATTATTTGCATTAATCCTCTCATAAGTGTCAAATTCAAACCACAGCTCCCGTTATACTTTCCTCACATCATCCTTCTTTTCCAACCAATTTCTGACTCTTTACATTGCTCCTTTGAAGTGGATTTGCTCTTTTCAGCTCCAGCCCAGGAGCTGTGCATATGCAGCTCCCAGCTGTGTTCCTCAGGCCTGTATTCAAGATACCTGTGAGGACCAAACAAAGCATTACTGTCTATACCACAAAGTATATGAGAATACATCTGGAAAAGAGGAATATCAGCTGCCTGATAACAAGGAGCTCACTATGGATGAAGAGCTATTGTAAGGAATTGTGGTAAGAGGAGAAAGAATCTGTCCATTTTAAGTTGCCTTTTATTGTTTGTTGGTTTGTGKTTTTTTTTACTTTGCCCTAACAAAGTAGGAGTTTTAAGTCTACTGCTGGGATATCAGTTTCTTCTTGTCTGAGGTGCTGTATTTAATATTGTAYTTTAGCATTGTGGACAGGTTGTGAGGGGGCTCAAAGCTGTGAATTCAGTTTTGTAACCATGTTAGCAAATTCTCTTCTACCCCACATATTTTTCTTAGAGTTCTTTCGTTCTCAACCAGTGATCTGTTGGTGACAGGATGGAGTTCAGTTTTGACAGAAGTTCAGGATGGGAGACTGTTTGTCAGTCAGGAGATCTGTGGACATTTGCTGTCCCTAAAACTGACTTGGTGCTCTCTACATTCTGCCTCTGGGCTGCATATGTAGTGTGAGTTCCCCAAATATGTGAGGTCTCTGGAGAAGAATGGGTGTTGGCCTCCTAAATACTGTGACTGGCTGCATGCCAGCTATGTCTGATCTGTGAGGCTCCACACTTCCATTAATTCAGACAAGGTTCTCTTTTGATCCTCACATTGCATTGCATGACAGGTTGCAGGGCATCTGAATTGTTACTTAGATGATTTGGTATAAAATACAGATGAAGCACATAAAGTAAGAATCTAAGGACAAAAGGTGAAAGTATGTAGAGGACATCACAAACATGTAAATAATATAAATAAAATAATAATAATATGTAATAAAATTAGGGGAAAATTGCTTTCTGGATTAAGTAGCCAACACTAAGGTAGGAAGGAGATTTTAAAAGTTGGACTTGATATGCATATAAAACAGTTCTTAAAAACTTAAAATGAGTAGTTTGTGCCATGGCACACATAAATCAGATTGTTTCAACACACCTGAAAAAGGTTGCATCCTCCTTCATACTGAGTGTAACATCATAACATTCAGGATTTTTTTACCCCTGATAATCTTAAACATAAAACATTGCTCTGCACACTTGATTTTTATAAAGTCTGGATTTAGAAGGGATGTGGGGCACTGGATGTCCTTTTTTCTATGTTGGTGTTGGGGGAGCTGCAGTTCTATTTTTAGCTCCAGCCCCTTATAAACCACACTAGCACAATGCTGTTCAGCCAAAAACCAGCCTTTGCACTTGTACTTTTTAAGCAAATTGAAAAGTGGAAGGTAAAGCAGACAGTAGCAGTCTCTTACTCACAGTTTTAGAAATGCATATGATAACCTCAGTGTTATAGTCAAGAACAGGAGCCCTCTGGTTCTATCATTTCTATTAAATGGCACTGCTTTAGACTAACTGGCAGTAGGCTTTTTTCTATTCAGCAAGCAGTTKAATTCAGATAACTCCTCAGTCATCAAAGGCTCCTTCTTTGGTTGCACCACAATCATTGTGACAGTTCCAGGTAAGAGTATTTGGCAGGGATAGCTCAAGGGTTCATTCTTTTCAGAATGTTTACTTTACCTGACATATCATTCCTGGGTGCCACAGTGATTAGTCATCTGTATATTATTTAAAGGAGGCTAAGGAGTAGTATTCTTCCCTAGAAGAATATTCTTCCCTAGAAACAGCTAGGGGGTGTATAACAAAAATAAATAAATAATAAAACCCCCTCAGCACTGAAGAAGATGTGCTGGGAGAGAATTAAAATAAGATGCACAGCAAGTAAAACACTGTGTTGAACAGTGTAAGCATGAGGCAGGGCAGAGAATATTGACTTGAGATTGCCTGAAAATCCTCACTTATAACTTATTGTAAACAGGATTTTTAAAATTAATTTCTTCACAAACTTTAACTGTTTGTGTTGATAATTTCCACTTCCTCCTGGGGCAAAATATTTGGAAAGACTATGATCAAAACGGTTGTTTCTGGAAAGGAAGTGAATATATATTGTTCTGTGTAAAATTTTGAGCACTTTTTCTCCTCTGAAATGCATSTTTCTTTTGTTACTTCAGTATACCATCCAAATGCTATTGTTGCCTTATTTCATGAGCTGAAATTATTGAGGTCTGTACAGTGACTCTAAATATTCCTAGTGATGCTCTTGAGTCACAGGCTTATCAGCAGGATTCCCTGCTATGGTATTTGTGGAGAGCTGGATAGATCTGAAGTTTTAGAAACATGGTAATTTACAAATAAAAGCTGAGATTATGAGTTGAGAGTTTAAAGTCAGGATGAAATCTGATGGATAATGCAAGTACAGCACTCACTGAGCAGTTCAAATATTTTGTTCAAGTATATAAAATCCAATTTTTTTTCTCCTTTCAGTTAAGTGTGTGCCTTCAGGCCCTTTTTATTGCATGCTTTTCAAAACTTGCTCCAGAGACAGAACTATTAATTTCCTCCTAGGTTTCTGCATAGCCCTCAACATTATAGTGCTTCACAAAGCATTAATGAAGTTATTTTCATAACACCCCCATGAACTGAGGAGGAATTATTGTCCTCATTTGACAGATGGAGACTGGGACAGAGTAAATCAAGGTTGAAAGCACCTACTAATTTGGGAATCCAGTTTGAGACATCATGCTTCTGTCTTTTTTCACAATATTTAACATTGGGCAGAAAGGTGAAAGCACAGCTCCATTTAATTTCAGCTGCATTCATGAGTGATCAGCATTTYGAGCAAGGCAGACCCCAGGTTTCAAGTTGGACTCGGTGTGAAAAACTTGGCTTTAGGAAACTTATCCTGTATCTCATAGACTGTCTAATGAAAAAAAGTGGATGTAGACTCCAAGCTATTTGGGACATAACTCTGAATGTCAGCAAYGCATGGGGCAGCCCCTCATCCTTGGGCAGCAGCCTTCTGCCCAAAGATTCATCCCACAGATAAGTCCATGCAACACATTGGACAAAACAGCAACCTTGTGGAAAACTCAGTTTGTGACTGTGTAAATGTACTGGTTTCAGCTGGGGTAGAGTTAATTTTCTTCACAGTAGCTAGTATGGRAATAGTTGCATGATGTGTTTAACCAAATGCCAAACTCCTGTCCTGTCTTTGATCACAAAGGCTGAAGTTTGAGGTGTATCACCAGAGAGAACTACAGAGTACTAATGAGATAATGAGCATACTGGTGTAAAATGGCTCTGTGTATGTTTCTGTGGGCAGATCCAGTATGAGCAGGGATGATTGCTGCTTAACTGCACTGATTTCCTCCCATTCCCCATCTCTTACCCCTCAGTACAATACCTACATCTCCAGCATTGTAAGGTAGAAACTATTATGTTTTACTTGTTTATATACCACGTAGTGCAGTAAGGTCTTGATCAAAGAACTTCACTTGTTTAGGTAGAGTCTGCATTGGTGTYACTCATGTTATCACTGGAAAAACAATGAGACTCAACTAGGTAATTGAAGTATTGCTATACGWACTGTTCTCCGTGGACCGCTGAGATGGTGATCACTGACAGTTTGCCATGGTGCATTGCCCACCTAGAATCTTGTAGGGAGAATTCATTCACTAACTTGTTTCTCTTAAGTGAATTTAATGTGTTCTATACTTTTCAATTTACTTAAGTACTAGTAGTTTATTAAAAGAGAACATTAAATTGACCTGTGTACCTGTATCACAGGACTGTTGTGAAGATTAATAATTAGATAATGTTTATAAAGCACTTTTTATAAGTGAAAAGTGCTATAAAGTGGTAAGTATTATTATTGCAGCATGATAGAGATCACAAAACACAAGTGAATTAGCTCTAGGTTTAATCCTTATAAGGCAAAACATACCAGGGGCAAAATAACATTGCAGTTATTTTTCTTACATCCAGCACTTCATTAACTACCACATAGGGTTATATAACTCTGTGAGAGTCTAACTTAGKAAAGTTTATAATC